CATAGGTTTGATCCCTGAAACCACACACACAAAAAAAATAGGAAAAATAATAATAACAAAAATAATTACATGTTTCGTTTGGTTAATTTTGTGCTGGGGATGCAGCTTTGTGGTAGAGCACTTGTCTAGTATGCACAAAGCCTTGGGTTCTGTTCCCAGAACCACAAGTGAACAAAACTACTGTTTGGTGTAGAAGGAAGAAAGGCCGATGAGCAGACAGACAAGAGCTAATCATTCACAGAAGGTGACCTTAGACTCTGAAATTCACCAACAAAAGATAAGGGAGGCAAACATGATGCCAGGGTGGTTTGGTATTTTCAGTAACTGTGGGTATCAGTCACTTTAGACCTAGGTTCAAGTCCCTCTTCCTTAGTGAGGCCCTTCCCTGACTGGTGAGGTTATGTGAATCCTTGTCCCACGCATTCATCTGACATTCTGCTTACTCTGTCTTGCCCTGATATTGATCTTTCTAGGACCATGGTTTATATTTTTCTGTGTCTGTTGCCTGTTACTATCTACCATGTCAACTGCTTGATTAATGATAATAAATGCATATATATTAGTCTGGGCTCTTTGTTGCAAAAACAGAAACTCACCCTGGATGACAGTAAGGGGGAAAAAATTAATGGGAGAGTCAGAATCAGAGAAAAGAGCAGAGATCAGGATTCTAGTAGGAAGCAAAGGAGGCTCAGCAGAGCCAAGAGTTTTCACATGAATGGCCACTTAGGACATCATTACTATGGCTATTGTAGTGGTACGCACAACCCCCGCCAATAAGAGTCTTAATTGAGTTTCTCCAGAGACCCTCACCATAATTGTTCTTATTAACAGAATATCAGCAAACTCAGTGTGGTTTAAAACTTCCTACTTTCTGTGAAGACTAAATTGCTCTATCTTGCTAAAGCTAAATTTGAGCAAAAACTTGGTGATGTTATTTTTGCTTTTATGGTAAAACTTGTAAAACCTCTGACTAATCTAAAAAAAATGAGACAAAAAGCATTTTCTGTGAATTAAAAAAAAAGACTTTTATGTAGACTCCTACAAAAATATAGACCTCCAAACCTCTCACTTCCCAGTGGGTATAAAGTTCTAAGAGTTTCCAGACTCATGGTTTAGAGAATTTTAGGCGCTAGCCCCCTGTGGACCCTGAAGCTAATAAACAGGCTTCCTGAAAATTCCTTGGGTGTCCAGCCTCTTCTATCCTACATCACTGTCACCATGGCCAGCTGTGATCTCACTGTTGCTGCCCTCACAGTCATGGGTGTGGGGACCATGCCTTCATGGATGCAGCTACAGTGATTAATGGCTGACTGATTCCATCTTGAGAATCCAGAAATGGTGAGGCTTCTGCCATTCTAGCTGCTGGGGCCCCAGCAAGACAATATTCATCTTCTCTGGCTTTTGGTATAGGCCTGACCTCTCACCGTTGTTGGGAGTCTCCCCAAATAAGAATTTTGTGGTGGTTGGCAGCCAAAATGTCAGATATCCACTATGAACAGTAATGGTAACAGGGCATCATTCCGTGAAGGGTCCTCCAGTTGCTGATGGGAATTGATTGGATGAGATCCCTCATCCTGGAGAGGGCAGTATTTCTTTCTGACTGGGTAAGGACTTGCCTTTTTCACCTGTAGAATCTCAGTCAGCATCACAGTTCAGCAGCTGATCTACCAAAGTGGGATCCCACAGAGCATCACCTCAAACCGAAGGTCTCCTTTATAGCATAGAAGATGAGTTGGTAGAAAAATGACAGTGGAATCCACTATCACACACTGCACCATCCACAAGATGCTGACATGATAGAATGGTTGCTTTGTTTTTGTTATATTTGGAGATGTTGCTCAGACTAGCCTTGAATTCCTGAGCTTAAGACATCCTCCCTCCTCAGCCTCCCAAATCACTGGGACTAGAGATACACACCACCACACCTATCTTCAGATGGCTTTTTGAAGATGCAGCTGTGGCAACAGAATGGAGATAACACCCCATGATGATGTGGAACTGAACTCTAAAGTACAGCATATACCTTAAACCAATGACTGATATATGATTCTGAACCAAATAAGTAGAATACAGGAGTTCTGGAGGTAGAGGTAGGGAGAGGCCCCACTAAGCATCACTTTTCAGTGGCCCTTTGGGAAATTCCTACTTCTTATTCCTGCAACTTTAGTCTCTGTGGGTCTTAACATCCTGGTTCCCAAAAAAGGTCCAAGATACCATGCACATAGTAAGAACATCACTAAAAAGCAAAGCAAGATCAGGTTGCTTGTTTTAATTGCGCAGCAGATGCAGCATACCATTAGGACAAATTGGCTCTGATGATCACATGAGGGTAGATCTGATATATCTAACAAGGCAGGGAGAAATAGATTCTTAGGTGATCCACTGGGCATATAGCAGACTGTCGTGTACAGTTTTAGTCTAGATGGGCAGGTGTGGCAACCATAGCCTGGTAAAGCCATGGTAACCAGTGGTACGGAGAACCCACATATGAAGATCAAGGTGATTTCACCAGGAATACAATATAGACGAGCATAAATACTTGCAGAGACCGTAATACAGTGGAGGAGGAGAAGAAGAATTGAGCATCAGTTATCACTCCACACCCAACTGCAGCAGTGTGGATTAAATTCATGCCATCAGTCTACTCTAATAAATTTCTCCAGAAACTGACCAATGAAGATCCTGAAGAATATATGCTTAAATGAAGTGACCGACACATAGGAAGCTAGTGGATCTGACTAGTACATGGGGAAGATGTAGTGGATCAGTCAGATCCCCACCCACCCACCCACTGAGACGGTGCCCCAGTCACCACCCAGCTGCTGTGCTGAAATCTCCTTTTCCAGAGAATTGTCTTCATTCAGCAGGATATGCCTCCAGGACCCCCACTTGACCCTCGGAGCATTGTTCAAGGAATGACTAACTGACTTAGGAGTAAAAGCCAGCTCTGCAATTCATGCTCCAGAGCCGCCCCGGGCATCAGCCTGAAGTATTGCTCCAGCTGAGCCCTCATCCCTGCCTGGCTTTCTTCTCTGCTCTCTCTTGCTTTCATGATATCCCCTCTGCTGCCATCACTTCCCCCAGAATCACATGCACAAGAATTCCCTTCTCAGCTCTGCTTCCAGGAGACCCCAGTCACTACTAAAATTTTATTTTAAAAAGACTTTTTAAAAATCAATATTTCAGGTGGCATTTGCAATTCTGTACAAAGATCCTTTCTACCAAATAAAATTAAAATATTTGGGCCATTTTTCTTTAGTTGTTAAGGTTTTTCTAGGGTGTGATTTATGGAAGGCAAGGGTTTCAAAATAATCCACCACTTGAGAAGAAAAAAAAAAAGAAAGAAAGAAAAAGATTTTGTGTTGAATGATTTGAGAAACTATATGCTACCTTAGGGGATTCACTGAGCATGTTCACTATAAAAGATTATGAGGTAGTGCTGCCCATGGAAGATATATTCAAATCCTATCTCAGGACCATCACTTAAATTTTTTGTTCCCAAGTTTCTCATAAGTAAAATAAATTAGCATATGCTTCATAATCACAACACAAGAATTAAATGATAAAATGCACTTAGCAGAGGCTAGACACATGGCATATTCCATGAATCATAAGAAGTCAAAGTAAATACATCAGAACCTTGGGTTGAGGGAGAGAGGAAGGGGATCATTTAATTTTCTTGGCCATAGATCCTTTTTCGTTTCCTGCACACAAAACAACAGACACAGAAAAAACATGAAATGCAATTTGCAAAATGCTGAGTGAATGAATTTCAGTAATGCTGACTCTACACAAAATGGAGGGGGTTATCTCCGAGCATTTGAGCTGTGTAAAGAGTTATGCAAGATAACTTCAGGCAAATAACCCCCAGGATAATCCAGAGCTTTTGAATAAAAATGCTGCAGCAGGCACCGAATCAGAAACCAGAAGAATCATTTTTCAAATCCAAGAAAATAAGTATCTGCCTTGCTCATATTTTTCAATTCTACATTAATTTTCTACCTTTGGTTGCATGATATTCTGGCCAAAATAGACTTGTTTACTCAATTATAGGTCATCTGTCAATTTGAAAAATGACAACCTTCCTGCATCTTAGGTCTGGGGACCTTATTTTTATGGCATGTACTCACTTCTGGCAGGAATCCCAGAGGGCACAGGAAAGTGGGAGGTGAAAGGCTTCATTCTTGGAGGAAGGATTTGGTAGAGTTAGTTTTCTTGAAGCTGGTAGCCAGAGCCCAAAGCAGCAGGCACTTATGCTTATTCAGTTAGTACGAGAGGCTTTATACAGAATATTTTTTACAAAATGAAGACAATAACACATCCACAAAAATAATGACATGTTCAGAAAGGGACATTGGACAGGTATTGTATTCGTTTTCTAGGGTTGACATAACAAAATACCACAGACTGGGTGACTCGACAACACATGCTTACCTGGCTGCTTTCTGGCTGTGTGTTCAGAGGGCCTTTCCTCTACCTGCCTGATGTCTCTTTCTCTTGTTATGCAGAACACAGGCCCACACTTAGATAAAGACCCTATCTCAAAATACAGACACCTTCTGAGGTACAGGTGGTTAGGACTTCAACATGGAAACTGGGGAGGAAGCACATTTCAGTCCACAACACGTGTTCATATGGACCAAATAAATTGTGCTGTACTGTTTTTGTAAGTTCTGCCTCCTCAAAACTCCTATCAGCCTTGAACTCCAGACAGTGGAGAGTTGTACCTTGGAATATTTTCTGTGTTGTCCTACACGTCGCACTATCCCTCCCCCCATGCCCTAGGCTAGAGCTCTCTTCATTGGCAATAATTGCTTTAAAATCAATTAATCATTAGGATCTCCACCACAGAGACTTCACCAAATGCCTTCACCAAATACCATGGGTCAGTTTAATAAATTTCTATGTGGAGAAAGACCCAACTTGGAGTGCATATAACTATAACAGCAGCCTAGTTATAGTTTTACCTCTGTTTAGTTAGGTATGGTTGATTAACTTACACTTCCTTAAGGCAGAGAAAATAACCTGGAGCCTTCACCTCAGGAAAAGGTTCTGTTTATGTCCTTTTCTCTTAGGTTCCAATGTGTCCAAAGGTCGCTGGTGCTTCCCTGTTTTCAGGTAGCTCTTTTGAAACCACACATGACCTTCAAAGGGCACACAAAATAGCAAACAGATCACCATGGTGAGTGCCAGGCTCTGCTACCTGAACAAGATACAGAAGTTAACAGACCCAAGGAACTTTATCTACAATTCAACAGAGGAGAAAGGAAACCTGAGGAAGTTCATTTCCTCTCGTGCAAAGATGTGATGGAAGCCCCTCCCTGTTCCATCCAAATTTTCTTTAAACAAACAAACAAACAAAAAACTATCTTTCCCCATTTTTTTTTCCTTGTTACTATTAAAGGAAGATGATGTGTGATTGGACTGACTTTGCATGGCAGGGACCAGAAGGACTTGTTGGATGGCAGCCACCATGACCTGAATGTGCCTGTCTTCCCACTCATATGCTGAAATTCTAACTCATGGTGATGGTACTAGAAGGTGGGGGCCTTTGGAGAGTGATTGGGATTAGTATCCTTATAAGAAACCCGAGGGAGTTTGTTTGCCTTCATGATAGGATACTTCAAGAAGTCACCATCTGTGAACCAGAACAGCAGGCCCTCATCAGACACCACACACTGCCCACACCTAGAAGTAGTCAGAGGCAACACTGAGTCATTGTTGTCTCCCCAGATAAAATATGTGCTCTTCTAGACCAAAGGCAGTGAGTGACTCCTGCTTTACATACCCTTCAAACCCCAAACAGCTGCTGGACACAAGTCTTACAGATGGCCCTCCGTATCTGTGGGTTCCACATCTGCAGCTTCAACCAACCACAGGTCAAAATTATTTGAAGAAAAAAAAATTGCATCCATACTGAAGATTTACAGACATTTTCTTGTCATTGTTTTCCCCTCTTCTATTACTTTGAATTGAAGCTGCTGGTATTACCACAGTTACGACTGCCATGTTATGACCTATTGAGCTCTAGGCACTTCTGCCTTTGAGGCCCCTTTTTTCATAAGAATATTAATGATTATATTTTAGACTACATTGATAAAAATAAAAATATAATTCAGGGGAGGGTTCATTATTATTATGTTCGTTTTTCTTCTAACGTTCAAAGAAATTAAAATTAAGACATTTCCATGGACCCCTAAAAGTTTTATGAGCCTTGGGCATGTTGTCTCCTGTGCCTAATGGGTAAGTTGGTCCTTCCAAAAGCAATTAACTTTGGCTTAGCCCTTGCAAATGTTGGCCATTATGTTAAGTCAATTTCATGCGTTGTCAAAATTAACCATCATGTGACACTTATGACATAAACATTAATTTTAGTTGGGTACAGTGGAATGCACTACAGTCCCAACTACTTGGGAGGCTGAAGCAGGAGAATCTCCTGCACACAGAAGTTCAAGACCAGCCTAGACAATATAGTGAGACCCTGTCTCAAAATAAATGGATATATTTGGTAGATACTGATATTGATATTTTTCTCACTTTACAAATGAGAAACTATAGCTTAAAGAAGTCATGGAGGAGATAACTACAGAGCCCAGAATCAAATCCAGCCTCTTCTGATTCCAAAGCCCATGAACTTCATCACTATACCATATTGTTTCCAAGAACTGATAGCCAATAGGTCACTAGCCCAAGCAATGACCTGAGTACCAGCTTAGACTAACCATGGAGGCTCATTCCTGAGCTATAAACACTACGCTAACTTCTTCACCAGAGTAAAAAAAAAAAAAAAGAAAAAAACACCAGCGATAACGTCTTATTGACTGACTCCTTGCCAGGAATGCAGATAATCAGACATGACTGTTCATATACCAGAAGTCTTCCTTGAGCAATAAAATCTAGAGTTGCTGGAATTTTTTTTTTAAGTCTGTAACTGTTAGTTCCTTATAATAAGTGCTCTTTAGACTTTAACTTAAAGTTAAATTCACTTGGGACACTGAAGACACTTTCAGTGTACAGTCATCATTTCTAGACGTCTCCTTTCTCACCGCCACATGTAAGTTCTTGACATCATCTCTTGCTGAGCCAGTCTGGTAAGCAAGTGCCAGAGACTGCAGGAGGACAGAGACACTGATCCGGTGCAGAACAGAGAGCTATCTTACAGGCAATGTCAAGGTAGAGTCCAGAAAGGTGGAAAGAAAGTTCAAGACACCTTTATAAAATAATACAATGTCTGCTGTAACTCAAAGGAAAAAGGCTAACAACACAATGGAATCAAGAGACAAGCAAAACAACTTAGCCTGAGTTCCCCCAAATACAACTGTTGAAATGATTAACCTGAGTCCCACACAGACATAGTGACCTCCATTAGTCAGATAATGGAGGTGCAAACAGATTGTGTGCCTTTATTTCCTGGCCAATTACACAGCCCTATTTTCCTCTGCATGCAACAGAAATGACCTGAAAGCTTTTGAGTCACCAGTCAACAAGGTGTCTAATACAACCACCCTTCAAAAATTATTTTGTTCTCGCATTTCTTCAGGGGAAAATATTCCACAGCCAAACTGTGTAGCTTTGTGCCAGAGGCAGAGCTTTCTTCGCTGTCTCCATTGGTAGGAAGAGAAAGAAAATTAATCTACTATCAGTGCTTCCAGTTGAACTTCTTCTAACAGCAGTTTCTCCTCCTACAATGGACTCCACAGTTTAGCCCCTGTAGTTCGGTGAGTTTGAGAGCGGAAGCAGAACTTGTCACTTTTCTTTCCAGAAGAAAGAGGAAAGGTTGCAAAACCCACAGAAACTCAAGAGAAGCATTTGTGGATTTAAAAAATTTTGCAAATATTGGCTAAGCATCACAAAGTACTATAATACTGAGTTGTTGAGATAAACTGAAGGAGCTCTGCCTTTCAATGTCTCACACAGCTACTTAAATTTGGTTTTACCCTTCTCATGACAACTCAAAGAAATAATGATGGGGGCCAAGATTTACTCATCGAGAAGCCCCAGACTTCCTTCCCACAATGATATGCACATAACCAGTGTAAGGAAAACAAACAAACAAACAAACATACTAGCCTTACATCCTCCCAGATTTGTACCTGACACTCATCTGGGCAAATACATGTGATCTTGCGACCAGCAGCCTAATCAGGGAACCTGCCTGGATCCTGGCTGGCTGAATTCAGCCATCCACCCACAGAAGAAATAATCAAACGATGTAAAGAGGAAAAATGAATTGAATACAGTTTGATCAAACCTGGGAGAAGCAGCTAGATTTTTTTTTTCTCCTTCAGGCCTACAGAAGCAGTAACAATTAGTAGAAAAAGAATTGAGGAGATATACATAGGTAGATTTAGGTGGGCTCTGCTATCCGGAGAATTTTCCAGTTCTACCTTCCTTGGTGCCCACTCAGGCCAGATGGTAGGGTTTTGTTTGTTTGTTTTTGGTACAGAGCTTTTTTAAAATATTTTATTTAGAGGCAAGGTCTCACTGAGTTGCTTAGGGCCTCACTAAATTGCTAAGGCTGGCTTTAAATCGCAGTCCTCCTATCTCATCCTCTTGAGCTACTGGGATTACAGGCATGCACCACCATACCCAGATACAAGCATTAGTTTTTTAGTTTCTATTCTCAGTAAGAAGTAGTTCTGGAGCTCTCAGTTTCAGTTTCCACGACCTGGCATGGGCTAAACTACCAAATGGGATAAGTCAAGGAAACCTCTCATCCCGTCAAGCACCACTCCCATTCCCTGACTCAGACATTTTCAGAAATGCCCTCCAGTGCCAGGACCTGCCAAAGAGGCATCATTTCCTGCATAAAGTGCTCCCAGCATCCACCCAATGCCCTACATGCACACCAGTGCCACTACATGGGATTCCTGTCAGTTCCTCTCTCTCCCCCTCCATCCCTTCCTACCCAACACCCACTGCTTACTAAGTGCCAGGAAGTTATAGTCATGGCAATCAAGAACAGTAAGATGGGCCTTTGACTGTTAGCAGGCAGACTTATGGAGGAATACAACTTAAGACAAATTTAAATGCGATACTGTCGTAGGTTCCTTGAAAACAAAGGAACAGGAGGGGAAGGGAAGGACAGCAGCATAAAATAGACATTATTATTGCTGCATGTATATACATGACTGCATGACCAATGTGATTCTGCAACCTGTACACTCAGAAAAATGAGAAATTATACCCCATCTGATTCAAATGTATGATATGTCAAGATCACTGTACTGTCATGTGTAACTAATTAAAACAAATAAAAAAATTTAAAAATAAATAAATTAATTAATTAATTGATTAATAATTTTTAAAAAAAGAAAACAAAGGAACAAGGACCAAAGTAGTTGAAAGAAGGCTAGTTGTATATCTATGTGGGCAGAATGACAGGAAAGTATCCCTCAAAGACATTTCAGGTAAATGTCTAGGTCCTTCTTTATCATTCCCTAGCCAAACCTAACAGCATTCCTGCTAGAGTGCTAATGGCAGATGGCCTAGAGAAAGGGTAAGAAGTTTTACTCTTGCCTCATGTGCATCCTCAGGCTTTCTCAGAAAGCCAGTTAGCTGCTGGGAGCTTTACTTTCTAGAAGAGAAATTTAGGAGAAATTAACTGCGCTGCCCAAGAGGATATTGCTCATAAATTCTCTTTCTAAGTTGCACAACCAAGAACAATCTCTCCCAGCTCCTTGATTGTTCTGCTCTCCAAATCTGACATTTCTTCACCATGGTGTCATTAGATTCTGTTATTCAAGTGTCTTGGTTTGTGTGGGGTGATTTGTTCCCTTGCTTTTTCATGTTATTTGTGTGTCTACCCATCTAGTGGTATGGATATGAGGTAGTAGAGTTTCTAGCCTGTGGATTTGTAGTATCCCTGAAGATTTCCAATACCTCACCATTTAGGGGGAGACAAATAATAACAACCAATGCAAATAATATACTGCATTAAACCAACTAGTTCCTACTATGACATCTACAATGTTAATCTTCACAATAAATAGAAATGATGTGATCAGTTATTGCCTACAATAAAACTAGCAAGTTTGCAAAAGGGTTTACAATTTCAAATGGTGAAGGAGGATAACAGAAATGATACAGGATGTAATGATTACGATGAAAAGGAGAGAAGATAGAAGTGAAAAAGGAAAAGTGAAAGAGAGAACAATAAAGATTGACTGTTGGTGAAAGAAAAGAGAGAAAGAGAATCAAGGGAAACAGGTAAATGAAAAAAATATATAAAGTAAAATTATTTAAAAAAATTAAAAATAAAAGAATTCAAAACAAAGCTAAAACATCCTAGTCCTCAAAAAACTGATCCATAAAAAATGGCTTCAGAAATGCTAGAAAAGAGGGGGGAAAATATGAGTATGTATAAATGTCCATGTGTTACTAAGGTAACAATTAAACAGAAAAGAAAAAAGAGAAAAAAAAAATCCATCAAAAGTGCTAAATGCCAATTGGTCTGGAGATTTTTAAATCAGTGTGTCTCCGGGTCCTGGTAATTTCTGGTCCATGCTAGAAGATTGTATTCCAGGGATCTCCCCTGGGTTCCACTCAACTGTTAGAGGAGCCAATTCTTAGTCCCTGAGGTCATCTAAGGTCCCCCATTTCCTGGTCCTGCTTTCAGTCTCCAAACTCAATCTCCCCCCCCCCCCGCCCCACCCTTCCCAGTTCCCAGACTGTATCTCTCCCTTCCATTCCTGCAAGCAGCAGTTTGGAGGGGGAAGGGTAGAGCCAAGTGGGTTTCCACCACCAGCTGTCCCCTGTGTAAACCTCTCTCGACACTTGATTTTTTCCTGGTCACTTAAGCACACTCTATGCTGTGCAGTGTGTGTTTACTGGGCCTATATTTTGGCCCACACTCAGGTTTGCCAGGAACTGGCTTCCTCAGCTGCTGGCCTCAGGTTGCAGCTGCAAAATAGTTCCTTCCTGTGTCCTCCACACTCTGCCTGGAGAGACGGCGGTTTCTTCCTTGCAGAAGGATATTGTGCAGCACATCTTTCAGTTTGTTGGGCAATGCCCTTGTTCTTTAAATACTCCATACCCAGACACACCTCAGGCTTCCTAAAAATGAAGATTCCTTTAATTCCCTTATCCCTGCACTTTGCTCACAGAGGGACCACTCTGGCTAGTGCTTCTGGCCTGGCCACGGCAGTGGCCATGATGCTGGGGATTTCTTCCTTATTTTATTATACCCAACCTCCTGAGTCCCCGATCTGCTTTAAATGTCCAGTTTTAAATTCCAGTAAAGTCCCCCCACTTTTTTTTTGTTCACCCACCTTGCTGAGAAGCTTTCGGTTTTCACTCCTTGGAGCAGCCAGGAAAGCAACCTTCTCTATTCCCCCATCTTGAAATATCCCAGGTGTTTCCAGTTATTATTCTCACTTAAAATATATATATATATATATATTCATCTACCCACTTCTGTAATCAAGATTTATTGGTAGGGAAACCAATCTTCCCAATTTGCTGAGAATGTTCCTACCTTATACCTATTATCCCAGCATAGTGTTAACAGTACCCCTTTTATTATCAAATAAACTAAGTTTGGGAGATACATGATTTGGTCCCTTGGTGAGTGACATCTGAGAGATTACTAGAGTCACCTGTTAAAATTTGTCTAGTCCACAAAAAAGGACCACAACAAAGATTAAACAGCCATCTTCTGAGGGGCATGACTGAGGAAGCATGCTGGAGAGCAGCAAGAAGGTGAGGAGACCTGCTGGAGTGGAAAAGCCTAGAACAGAGGCATAGAGAGCAGAGAGAGTTATCTTGCCTGTCCCACATGTATCAGCTCAGAATCAAGAAGGACATCTCTTTCATGGGGAAACGGTAGGCTGGAGAGCCCCAGTGGTCTACATCACCACTGCAGGTGACTACGCCAGACACACACACAGCCCTCACAGGCCTAGAATGTAGTCTGGAGAGTTGCCCACAGTTCACACATTTGTATTGCTACAGATTAAGAGTCCACGTTGGACAGCTCGCATCTCCTGTGACCTGAGCTCCCATGGCCCAGTGCTCTCTTGAAACTGGATTAAAAGAACAATTGTTTATTCTTGCCACCTGTGGCTTGCTTGGGAATCAACCGATCTAGGCTGTGTTTGGTTGACCTTGGCTCCAAAATGTACCTGGAATTAATTTCAGATCCAGATATTGCTCATCCTCCTTGAAGGACCAGGGCTTTTGTTCTCAGGGAAATTAGAACTGGTAAAACCAAGTGTGCAGTTCTAATTCAGGCTGTCCCGTGCTAGCTCCACTGACATCCCAGTGGCCTGATCACATGATCAAGCCTTTCAGTGAAGCAGGAGAACATACCCTCACACTTGACATGACAAAAGTAAGAATAGAAGGAGGGATGAAGGCTTGGAGATAGTAAGGATCATGCACATCAACTGTGCATCTTGTCATTCCAGTTGCCTCATTCATTTTCCCCTTGATTTTGAAAAGTCCCTCGACTCAGGACTTAGAGTGTATGTTTAAAAATTGTTCAGTTTATGTAGTATCTGAAACTGTTTCCTTGTCAATTCATCTGTGCCCAAAAGGAATTTGCATTTTAAAATCTGGAATTTTGACAGAAGCCAACTTAAGACTTGAAAAATATTTTAAGATGTGGATATAGCTAATTGATCTCAGCTCAAAGGCCAGGGCAGGAAGGCAGGATCCAAGGGTGAACAACAGTGCCTGTGTAAACTCGGGACAATAACTAGGACTCACTCTAGACAAAGGTTCCAAATTTAGGTTCTGCTATAGTTAGGATCTGAAATGTCTCCCAAAAATCTATGTGTCAAAGGTCACCAGCCTGTGGCAGGGCTAGGAGATGGTGGAACCTTCTGGAGGTGGGACCTAGGAGAAGAAAGTCAGGTCATTGGTAGACATATTCTTGAAGGAAAAATTGGGACTAGCCTCTTCTTTTCTCCCTGCACTACCTCCCTCCCCCAACTTCCTGATTGGCATGACATGGGCATTGTTCTCTGCCATGTACTCCTGCCATGATGTGCTGCTTCACTAGAGGTCCAAAGGCAACGGCAGCCAAGTGACCCTGGACAGAAACCTCTGAAACTGTGAGCCCAAATAAACCTTTCTTCCTTTTGTGTTGTTTGTTTCAAGTATTTTGTCACAGCAATGGAAAACTGACTAACGCAGGTTACAAAGGATTTCTTGGAGTGTTTGGTGAAAATACAAATTCTTAGGTTCAATGCCAGAAACTCTGATTCAGTGGGTCTAGAATAGGTCATGAAATGCTGAACAAAATATAGGGACTACATATAGCATGGTCAGCATATGGTACCTACTAGCTCCAGATGTGGGACTGGTTCTACATTTAAGGGTAAATAATGGCATAACCTTGAGCAGGGGTTCCCTGAGTCTCCATTTCCATTTGGGAAAACATCAGTGCATTTTTCCCCCTCTAACTTCTGGGTATGTTAGCCATTTCCTCCCTCTCCAATTTGACTCAGTAGATATTACCTTGTTAGGGCGTTGGGGTGCGGGAAAGAGACGAGAATTTGTTTCAGAATGTTTGCAAAAGGAAAGACACGTTATTTAGAGTCTGCCATTCAAAATAGGGTTATGCAGAAATATCGTTGTTACGAAAGGATTGCATTTTTCTTTATTCACTCTGGCACAAACCCTCTTCTACACCTCGGGTAACAGAAGGGAAGCCAGATATGGAAGTTTCAAGTCATAAGAATTCTCCTATCATTTAGAAAGATAGTGCCTCTGCTAATGGCAGCCAGGGTGAAAGGCTTAGGGCTCTATAATTGAATGAGGATGTAATAGAAAAAAATAAAATAAAACCCCAGCCATCTTCAGCTGAGGGGATTGTAGAAAGAAGGAAAGCAAGAAAGAGAAGAGGGCAAAGGGAGTTGAGGACAGAGAAGGGCACAGTATATTGGGCAGGGTATTGGTCTCCCTTCTCCCCGTTACCACCATGGTGCAAGCTTTATCACATTGCTCTGTTCCAGCCTCAGAGGAATGGGGGTAGAACAGAGGGCAGGTTCAAGGGATGTGAGGTGGGGTCCAGGCAGCAATACTTTTTAACAGATTTCCTGGTGATTTTTTTTTTTCCTGTGCTGAGGATTGAACTCATAGCCTTGCACATTGAATTTTTTTTTTTTTAATGCATTCACCAAATTGATACCTGACATTGTTGTAGAACGGAGAAAGCCTTTGGGACTTTCACTTCTGTTCCTGCTGGCTTCCCTCGTAGTGTTCTGTGAACTTCATCGTCATGTTGACAGAAATGAAACTCAAACGAACTCCACCCCCGTTTTTTTTTTTTGTTGTTGTTTCCTCGTAGTAGCCTGCTGCTGCCTGGCTGACATGGGACGATCAGACCCTCACAGGATCATGGCCATGATGCAGACCGTGGCGAGCTCCAGTCCCGGGCAGTCCTGCGTGCTGATTCTGATCTTCACAGTGCTCCTGCAGTCCCTGTGTGTGGCTGTGACTTACATCTACTTCACCAATGAGCTGAAGCAGGTCAGTAAAAGGCAGTCTCAGCAACTGTCAGGTGGCCCTCCTCTCTGCCTCGCAGCTCACTGCTCCTTGAAAACTTTACTATGAAGAAAATCTCTTTCTGTCTGCAGATTCTAACTGCTAATGTTTATCATTCCCAAGGACTTCATGGAGGTGCAGGTTCAGTAGACTGTGCAAAAACAAGCTCAGTTACAGAACTGGCTCTACCAGTTACTAGCAGATGCAGGGAACAAAACTCCTAAGGGGTTTTGTTGTTGTTGTTTAGTTTTATATGCATTTGCTTTTTTAAAATTGATACCATTCTGCAGTGCTTCCTGCTAAATGCTTGAATTCTTGTGGGTGAGGGCATCAGAGCAGAGGCTGCATCTGCTTCTGACACCTCCGCAGCCTAGCATATGGCTACCATGCAGGTGCTTTCTGAATACTGGCTATATAAGTGAACAACTATCACAAACATGGTGGGAGCCTCTAAGAGACAGGCAGCAAAAAGAGAGTTGGGGCTCAACCCAAACCCAACAACTAAACCCTTAATGAGGTTCCAGCTGAGGTTAATTCCAGTGGACCATAGACAGACTTGGGAAAACATTCAGAGGTGAGCCCTGCACAAACACCTATGTACTGTTTGCTTATGCTCAGACTTCATGCCAGCCTCTCTCTCCAACTCCTTTTTTGTTGTTGTTGTTGTTGTTTAATATTTTAAGTTAGTAGGTAGAATTTCTTCACATAGACAAGCCAGACTTTTAAAAGTTAGCAGGTAGAATAATCTGCATCTGAACTAAAATCAGAACCAATGTCAGGTTTCTCATTGCTCCAACAAGTGAGGGGTGGAGGAAACCTTCCTTGAAGTGCACTTTAGCTTCAGAACTATGGCACTTCTGTGTTGACAATAACGAGTGTGAATACAAAGGACTGGCTTTCTGCCTACCCTGGTGCACAGATGTGTCATGGGTAAAGTCTGTAACAGAGAGGCTAATAGACTCAGTATTTGACTATTTATTTGAAAATACAATTGTCACTTTATGCTCAGGATAGTCCAGGTGAAAAACAGGTATGAATACAAAGAAAAAGACTTAGTGTCACTTTAGTTTATGATTTTTCAACTATCTAAAACTTTTGAATCTGTGAATGTAAAATAAACCAACGCACAAATGCCAACTCAAATAAACCAAGTCAGTTTTTAATTCCTTATGTATATTTTGACAAATTCTATATTATATAATAGAGAATTGAGAGCTGGACGAAATTTTGGATACCTCATCCCCAGTCCCATCCTCATTGTATAGATGAGGAAAGCAGGCCCCCCACCCCCAGAGATATGTATTACGCAAGCTTACATGGGACCAGCTAGCACCAGGACTGTGAATGCCTAACTAATGCTCTTCCTTCCACAGCAGCATACCCATGGTCAAAACTGTGCAGCTCATGATGTACATCCTGCAACACCAAATCTGCTGGTGACTAGGAAATGCAAGGCTGAGTCCCAGAAAAATATAAATGCATAAAAGCTACAGAGTGCTTTCTAATGGTCTGTTAGGAAAATGCAGTTTGTATACCCTATGGAGTGTAAATTTGGTTATCTCAGTTGGTTGGGAATTTTTCCTTTGGAAATGGAAGAAGTTGACTCTTTTTTGTAAGTCATTATGAAAATTACGTTGACCATTTGTGAGAAATAGAAAGTCTGGTGGTCCATTTTCAGAATATAGTATTTAGCCTTAAATGTAAGATTGGGATGTAAGAAATGCCTACAGAGGGGAAATAGAGCAGAATGGAAAGTTACACAATAGCACCTTAGGCTATGGATTTCTTGAAATAACCCAATTAGCCATTTTGAGCTCCCTAACCTGTATCCAGTTGTAACTAGAACCCTTTCCTTTGCCCGCTCCAATTTTAAAATTAGCCAATTGCAGAGATTGTAACCCCAGGCTCTTCCTATCAGAGCAAGGGGCAGTACTGCACTGGGGATAAAAACAGGCAGTCAGCTCACTCATGTGCACTTGCTTGCCAGACTTTGTTCAGTAGCACACCCTTCTGCAGAACTACATTCTGCCTTATGGAGCTACTTCTGAATATGTGTCTGATTCCTCATGACACCCTAGAATTTCTAACACATTAGATGACCTGTAAAGAAGGTTTTATTGGAGGGCATGTTGAAGAGTTTGTGTATTTCTAGGAAAACAGATATTACTATAATCATACTTTTAGTTTTAAGTCCACATAAGAGACTGGAAAGCTGCTACCTATGTTTATAGCAGCCCAATTCACAATAGCCAAACTATGGAAACAGCCTAGGTGTCCATCAATCGGTGAATGGATACAGAATATGTGGTACATAGACACAATGGAGTTTTATTTAGCCATAAATAAGAAGGAAATTATGTCATTTGCAGGATAAATAGAACTTGAGAGCATTATGTTAAGCAAAATGAACCAAAGGTCAAGGGTCATGTTTTCTCTCATAGAAGCTAGAGAGAGGAAAAAAAGAAAAGAAAGATGAGGTGTACCTCATGAAAATTGAAGGAAGAGCATTAAAGTAGAAAAAGAGACTAGCACAAGGGAGAAGGGGAGGGAAAAGAGAAATACTGAGGAATGATATTTGCCAAATTATATTGTTATATTTGTGTGCATGCATGAATCCCACCATTATGTATAATTATAATGCACCAATAAAAAATATTGGATAACGATGAGGAGAGAAATGAATGACAGTAGAGGGGGTAGAGAGAGAAGATGGGAGGGGAGGGGAGGGGGGATAGTAGAGGATAGGAAAGGCAGCAGAATACAACAGTCACTAGTATGGCAATATGTAAAAACATGGATGTGTATCCGATGTGATTCTGCAATCTGTATTTGGGGGAAAAATGGGAGTTCATAACCCACTTGAATCAAATGTATGAAATATGATATGTTAAGAGCTATGTAATGTTTTGAACAACCAATAAAAAAAATATTGGAAAAAAGAGACCAGAATGCTGCTACGTGTACCCATCTGAAGCCAGTATTTGAAGCCCTTTGTTAACTTTATAGTACAAAGAGAGTGAAGCTATTTCTCCATAAACAAGCGGCTCTATCAGTTATACACATCATAAATTGGTCTGCTTATTTAAGACTGAATGGATTCTCCGCTGAGCTGATTGCAGTTGCCTATGTATATAATCAAGTTTTTAAAACTTCTACTAAAAAAATGGAAATTTCAAATAAAGCTTAACATCTCCCCACTTATGCATATTTTTCTTGACTGCATAGTTACATGTGCAAACACATGCATAAGAATTGAGAGTAGCACTATAAAAGGAGAATTAACAGATATTGAACAATTATTGCATGCCAGAAACTTTGATAACTATTACACTGTGTCATACTCATAACCATCTTATAAAAATCAGTATAATTATACCATTTTATAAGTGAACAAACTAAGGCTTAGGGAAATTAGGTAAATTTTTTTTTTCAAGATGACAAAGTTAGTAGAAGATAAAGCCTAACTTTTGAAACTGGCTATTAAGCAAGTGCTCAATAAATTTAGCCATAGTAATTTCTGTTGAAAGATTTTTTTGAAGGTATCACCATCTTCATCAGGAATTTTTACAAGAGGAAATAAATCTGAATTTTCTTGAGAATCTGTGCAGAATTTGAAAAAGCATATTCTGCATAAGCAGCAATTTCCTAAGACAGATTACAGGTTCTACCTTTGAAAATTTGCAGAAGATTCAGTAAGCAAGGTCTATAGGATGGCGCATGTGTCAAAGAAGGCCCAGTAACATTGACTTGGACCATCACAAGAAGCCTGTAGAACAGCGAGTATGAGGCATGTATGGAAACTCCAAAGTCTGTGTCATTCTGTGAAAGTTTCATGGCAAGGAGATGGCCCATCACTCTGACATCACAGATGGGGAGGGAAAAGAGGATCCTTCTCTATTGAACCCCATAAATGATTCTTTATGCTATTTGTGGTTTGCAGAAAATGATGATCAGAGACTAATGTTTGAGGAGCAGGGAGAGCCAAAGCTGTCAACTTAAAATCTCTGTGACAGCACAGGAATCTACCTTCCTGATCTTAAGCCCCACCAGGACTGGTTGGCCCTGGCCTAGGCAGCTGCCATGTTGTGACTGCACCAAAGCAGTCACCATGGAAATCCACTTCTCAGAACCAAGGGCTTCTGGAGCTAAAAAAAAAAAAAAAAAAAAATAGGTACTCAGTACAAAGCTGTGCCTCCAGGGGCCACAGGAATGAAACCTGAACTCCTGCATCCCCCAGCCCCAACACCCACATGTGGTTATCTAAAGAACAGTCCAGTCTGCAGTGAGCTGCAGGAAGCTCATACTTTGAGACAGAAAGGATGTGTGTGTGTGGGGGGGGGGGGCAAGAGACATCTGATTAATCGTTGTTGGACTCACCACAGCACAAACTTGCCATACAGTCACTAGAACAGGCCAAGACCTGCAAAAGAACAACCAAACATCATAATACAAGGAATGCACGAGGATGAGGAAGGTGGTGAAGCTTCCTCTCTGGATTTTTTTTTCAAAATTCAATATTTATGTATAAAAATGTCTAGAAAGACAAAAACCAAAATGTTGATAAGTATGCTCTCTATATAGGAGGGTAAGAGGTGCCCTCCATTTTATTTTTCAGGATAGTATACATTTTCTATAGTGAATCTCATAAGAGAATATATGCTACCATGTGTGGTTTTCATACAAATTTAAAGAATGTGATATTTGTGTGTAGTCTTTGGTAGGATATTTGGGGATTGAACCCAGAGGTAATCTACCACTAAGCTATAGCCCTAGTCCTTTTTTTTTTTTTTTTTTTAATTGCTGAGGCTGGCCTCAATCTTGCAATCCTCCTGCCTCCACTATCCAGTTTGCTGGGTTTACAGGTGTGCACTGCCGTGCCCAGTTTGGATATTAAGAGAAAAAAAAACAACTATATGCAAGAATTGTATACAGGCAGTCTGATAACCCTGTAAACAAGAGAGAGCATCCAAAGGTTAACTATGGGGTGGGGTTGTGGATGCTTTTAGTGTTTGCCTGTTCGTTCTGTTTTATTTATTTATTTATTTTTACTTTGGGGGAGTATTTTGTTTTCCATTTATACTTTCAAAACATGTTCTTTACTTTTCTATGTTTCTCTGGCTGCCAGTATATTTTGCAAGTGTCTAGGCTGCATTTACTTTTGAGCCATAAGTAACACGAGCTTGTCAATCTCCCAGGACCTTACTCAGTTTTCACAGTTCCCCCTTCCACCTCCTGACAGATTTTCTAGAAAACCCAAGAGGTATCACAGGCACTCACTCACACTTGGCATTAGCCTGAACTGGCCTCTGCTGTTTGGGTTGTATTTCCACCCTTCTCAAATTCCACTCGGGGTCATAGGTTGCTGCTAACCCCTGTCAGGATGCTGGCCTGACCCAGAGGCAGCCAACTCTGCCCCTCCCTGTCTGTCAACACTCTTTCCTGTTGAAATAGCCTGCAGTTTCTGGGAAGTAAGGAGCAAAGTGCTCCCTCCCTTCTTGTCAGGCACACCTTTGTACCCCAACAAGTTACCAAAGTTTGTGAGCCTGCTGTTTGGGTTTAATAAAACCAAAGCCTGGCAGAACTTCCTCAGACTGGCTGCACTGAGACAGTGACCAGGAAAACTTGCTTTTCCTATAACCGTCTTCATCCTGTAGCTCATTCCAGCTCTTCCCTCTTCCTCCCTGATCCCTGTCCCCCATTTGCTAGATATGGTCTCCTGTTTCTATAACCGAAAGCTTGGTCCTCGTCCCTGATGTCAATATAATAATGAGGACATAGTTTTGAGAAAATGGAAAAAGAAATTTTATTGCTTTGCTAGCAAAGGAGAAACACAGGGGATTCCTGTACCAGAGTCTGTGAATCTGACCAGAGGGCTTTTAAAGAGGTAATTCAAAAGCTGCATTTCAGGCATGCTTGGTTGGGGGGCTATAATCTACTTGTGGCCCTGAGAAGTAGCCATTTCTCAGATCTTCTGGCACCATCCTGAAGTCTGAATTAGTTTATTCCTGTGGTATGGGTTTGCTCAAGGACAGATAACAGCCTAGGATGGGGAAAAGGGTAATCTTGCTTCTCCCAACGTTAGGGACATTGAGAGGGAGAGGAAGAAGAGAAAGCGGGGGAAAATGTCAGTTTTAAAATCAGCCACAGTGGCAGAGCAGCAAAAGTCATGTCCAAAGCACAAAGTGGTCCCCTGTTACGCTTCTGAGCCATATGTGACTGAATTCCTTCTCTGAAAGGCTATTCAACTCCTAAGGTATTTGGAGAGGCAACTTGCTGTTCCCAACAGAGGTGTGTGGGTTGGGCAGGTATGAGGTAGGCTGTCTAATTCCATTGCCAGACATATTCCACCACTCAGGTGGGTCCAGGTGGCCATCCTCAACTGCATTTATGAGATTCTTCTACTCTTTTGGTGTTGTTGTTTTTTGTTGTTATTTCATTGGCTACTATTGTGTAATAAGTAAGGTAACCAAAAACACCTTTATTTTTTTTACAAGTTCCTTTCTTCTTTTTCCAAAATAATCATGATTAACTTAAAAAAAATGGTTATACAATACATCTTCAAAGCATTTCCCTATAACAGGAAACTTGAGAAAATCCAAAAGATTAAAACAATTCTATTGTGCTGTCATTATATAACAAAACTGAAACTAGCATAAGTCAAGGAAATTCATTCCTACTTCAGGTTCTTCTCCTCCAGGAACCAATATTATTATTTCCTTTAGCAAAATCTGAGCTAATATATTGAGTAATCCTTGTTCCTTCTGGTGTGATTCCAGCACAGTGTTGACAAAGTCATTATATCCTAGAAGTGTACCCATCATTTCCTTATTACTTTTGATCACAATGTAATTTTTTTTAAAGAGAGAGAGAGAGGGGAGAGAGAGAGAGAGAGAGAGAGAGAGAGAGAGAGAGAGAAGAGAGAGAGAGAGGGAGAGAAAGAGAGAGAGTGAGAATTTTTTAATAATTATTTGTCAGTTTTCGGTGGACATAACATCTTCATTTTATTTTTATGTGGTGCTGAGGATCGAACCCAGTGCCCCACGCATACCAGGTGAGTGCATTAACGCTTGAGTCATATCCCCAGACCACAATGTAAATTTTTGATCCTGCACACCTGTCCACAAGTTCTAGGAGCAGCAGCTGTGATGGTTGGGTTGGTAGTAGCATTAACCATCATGACTAAGCTGGAAGTCGGCCAGCCCAAAGTTCTATTCTTAGAGGTTTTTTTTTTTAAAGAAAGAAAGAAAGACAGGAGGCTGAAGCAGGAGGATCACAGGTTCAAGGCCAGCCTCAGCAACTTAGTGAAGCCCTAAGCAACTTAGGGAGACCCTGTGTCAAAATAATAAATTAAAAGGAATGGGCATGTGGCTCAGTGGTTAAGCCCTCCTGGGTTCAATCCCTGGTACCAAAAAATAAAATAAAATAAAATAAAAAAAAGAAAGAAAATTTAAAAAAAAAATAAACATTTATTTAAAAGTTAAGTGTTCTTAGCTAGGGTGGAAGGAATTTATTAATTCAAATCTGTACCTTTACACTTGAGCGACCTTTATCAAAAATCCAAGGGGTACATGGCTGAGTCATAAACAGGAAGTTTTGTTTAAATTGAGATTGTTTTATTCATAAATTAAAAGAGTGTCATTAAATTTGATTGCTCCTTCAAGCTTTGCAGTAAACTAACTTCAAATAACAGATAAAAATAATTATTTTCCCATTTATTTCCCCAGATAAAGGTAACTCAACTAAATTTTTTTTTACAGGGAAATAACATCTCTTAAATTTCAATCGTTAGGAAAATAAAATCAAAAGGGAAAGAAGGAAATAAAAAGAAAAACTTCTGTTTTTCTTAATCAGATAACAGCCTGGAATGTTCTGGATGGTTGGTGTGTGTGTGTGTGTGTGTGTGTGTGTGTAACATCTAGCAAGGATTTGTTGATAAGGGTGAGGACTTTGTTGACAATGATCCGGCTGTATAAATATTTACTCTCAATCAGAAGAAACAGCAAAACTTCAGATGGTATTTCAAATCTCTGCAGACAAGTCCCTCACTAGTGTAAACATCTAATGAGGCAGCATGGAGATTTCTAGAACAGGTCCAGACAATGCCATCCAGACTAGCAGAAATCACATCAATAACAGAATCTCCTCAGCCACCTGGGTTCTGATTAAGAAAAAGGGGATTGCCCATACATCAAAGGGTCTAATTTTTATTTAGGATGCTGGGATTCAAACTGACCTCCCTGCCTATTCTGTATTTAGGTGGCTTTTCAAGTTTAGAATGAGATCCAACCACAACAGAGCTGGAAGGGACCCCAGACATCACCATGTTCAAAGCTCTGATTAGCAGCACCTAGGGAAGAGAGGAAGCATGGTGGAGAGACAACACAGTTGCTTAAAGATGAGGTCAGGGACGGCACCAGGACCCAGGATGTCTCATATGAGTCACAACCTTTCCCCCTATTATTCAACTGCTTGCTTTTAGCCAAAGAACAAAAAGGACAGCAGGCCTACTTTTATCCAAGGTGCTGTAACTTCTCTGAATCCGCCATCCTTTTCCATTGTTTTAACTTCCAGTTGGAGAAAGGCAAAAAGCTGTGGTGTATAACATTGTGGTATATTCCATTTCAACCCAGATGCAGGACAAGTACTTCCAAGGTGTCGTTGCCTGTTTCTTAAAGGAAGATGACCGATTTTGGGACCCCACTGATGAAGATTCTATGAATAGCCCCTGCTGGCAAGGGAAGTGGCAACTCCGCCAGTTTGTCAGGAAGGTAGGTAACCTCCCTCACAGGTGCACAAGGTCAGAGGAGGAGGAATCCTTAAGCTATCAACCTAGACTCTGCATTTTGCAAAAGAGGAAACTGAGGCCCAGAGTGTTTAAGTGATTTTTCCCCAGATTCACAGAACTAGGAAAAACTGGCGTAGCACAAAATGATAGGTCCTGGCTGATTTGTGGTATACCCTAGAGCCTCCTCCTCTAGTCTAAACTTTTAATCTCACTTGTGGAAACTGAGGCACAGACAAGAAAATGTGTTCAAGGTCTTGCTGTGTGGTGTAATTTTTTTTTTTTTTTTGGTCTTCATTCAGAAGACAAAGGAAGCCAAATAATGATGTTTTATATGCTTCCCACATTATTGCTCTCTGGAATTAAATACATATTTATTTATGCATGCACACAGTGATGAAGAAAGAAAGGAAGAGGGAAAAAGAGATACTTTAAGAACCAAAGGTGAAGATATCTCAGTTCACAGTTAAGTGACAAATTACAAAAATATACCTATTTATATAAGTTGCTTAAGAGACCTCTAGCAGAAATATTGTGTTAGCTAATAGTTAATTTTACTAAATGTGATTGATTTTATTTTTGGCAATGTGACTTCGATTGAATCAATTTCTTCCCTGGCTGCTCCCTTCTCTGTAAGATGGCATTTAAAAATATTTGCTGAAAACATCAGATGAGAGCACAAATATCAAAACAAGCCCATGTATGCTATCATTGTTTAAAGACATACTGGGGAATTCCCAGGGTAGGAGGAGGATGTGTTTTAGACATGTTTGTAAAGTCCATTGTCTGGTGTACACTATCTCGGTGGGTTTCCAACTGTAGAATAAGATCCACACCACGTCAGAGCTGGAAGGGACCTCAGACAACATCACATGCAAAGCTCTGATTGGGAGCAGAGGAGAAGAGAGGAAGCAGCGTGTTGAGAGACAAGGTCAAGTTCAGACATCACCACGATGCTATTTCCACAGGAAATGAAATTGCATCTCCACCTGGGTGGCCTAGGAACGCACCTGCTCTGTGCCCACCCTAGAAATGTGGTCTTGGCTGCCCCTCCCCCCGCAGTAGTACTGAGCAGCTGTGATTCCTTCACTTCAAATGGCAATGACTGCTGGGGCAGGGGCAGGCAAAAGCTAGAAAAAGCACCGGCTGTGGAAGGCTCCAGAGGAACCTCAGAAATGGAATTCCAAAGTCCCCGGGATCTGGAGGCTGGAGGGCAGGAAGAAACCCAGCAACAGGGAGAGATGCAGAACTGTGGTAGACACCTGGAGACTGAGGAGTCTTCTGGAATGGGGAGCAGCAGTGGGGAGACAAGAGAATTTACATGTGGGTTTCTGCAACTCTCCCTCTCCCCTTCTTAGATTCTGACACCAACTAGAGTAGAGAGAAGCTGGGGGAGCACATGGCAGGTGGGGGCCAGAGTGGGGAAAGAACTGCCCCTTATATCAGATGCATCACAACGGTTAAACATTTTATTTCCAGTAAGCAGCCGATGCCCATTTTGTGCATGATCTCATTGAATCCTCACAGCAGCTCTCTGAGGAAGAAATCATGGTTTTATGTATATATAAAATCAAAGTTTTATGCACACACACACATAGATATTGTTTTGTGTTTTGTTTGCTTTTGCTTTGCTTTTTGGTACCAGGGATTGAATCCAGGGGAGTGTAACCACTGAGCAACACCCCCAGCCTTTTTTTTTTTTTTTGAGACAGGGTCTCCCTAAGTTGCTTTGGACCTCACTAAGTTACTGAGGCTGCCTCAGCCTCCCGAGCTGCTGGAATTACAGGTGTGCACCCCTGCATTGGGCCATATACACATTTTTAAACAGATAAAGAAATTGAAGTTGGGATCAGCAAAGTAACTTGAGCAGGCTCCCAGAACTAGTATTGGCAAGATTGGACTGAGGCTATGCAGCGACACTTGCAGTCCCTCATTCTGCTTCCCACACTGTGAGGCTGACCTTTCTCCCCTTCACTTGCTTCCCTCCCTCCTTCCCTTCCCTTCTGTCCCAGAATAAGAGAAGGAAAGAACAAGAGTGAAAGAGAGAGACAAACAGAAACAGAGCAAGAGAGAGAAAGAATGCTCACTTCCCCTCATTCCCATCCCTACACCAGAGCCCACAGGACTGACTCCTAACCCTATCCAGGGTTGGGGCTGGAGGCAGAGGGAGAAGCACAGAGCCTCTGCTTTGGGGTGGGGGTACAGAGGAGGCAGGTTCCAGCAATTGCAAAATTAATGACAATGATTCGGAAAGGAGGGCAGCAATGGCCCAAGCCCTCAGGAGTGACTGAGCTGAATGAAAGGGGTCCAGAAGCCATGAGTGAACCTAGCTGGGTTTTGCTTGTTTAATACAAAGGTTCAATTTTCACTTTCTTGCTGTTTTTCCCCATTGGTTAGCACAAAGAGGAGGCTTTAGTGAAGCTAGATGTTTAGTGAAGCTATGGCAACTCAGTGAAATATCTTTATGTACAGCATATCTTGACCACGTTTTCAGAAATGAGAGAATGACATGGTATTGCCAGGCCATACCCTGGTGGGTGTGAATGTCTGTGGGCATCATGAGAAACAAGTATTCATTATATTTTAAGATTTGGATCTGTCCAATAATTTCAAGCTGCTGGACTCTGTCATGCCATGCTTTTACACACACACATGTGCCCCCCCCCCCAACAGAAAGTGATATGACATGATTATCACATGGGGCCTCATGGAGGCCTGGGGGACTTTAGGCGTCCTGACTTGGCAGATGGCCTCTTCCTCATGCACTGTTCCAAGTGTGACCTTTCAAAGACTTCATCCAGAAGCAGAACTTTCCTGGGCAGAAGACCCTCCCTTCGTCATTGCATAGGGACCACTATCTCATTATTCATCCCTGCCCTTGGCCCTCCCCATACAAACACTGAGTTCAATCAACAACTTAAAGCTAAGTTGGTATCTTATATAGAAATGTCCTTTTAGACATCAGCAAGAAGAGCCATAGGCATATTCTATAGCGGGTGAAAACTTGTAGAGAATTAACAAGCTTTATTCAATACTATTTGCAGATGATTTTGAGAACCTATGAGGAAACCATTCCTACAGTTGAAGGTAGTGATTTTTTTGTTGTTGTTCTTCTAATTTGTCAAATTCATGACAAGGTAAATAGCTTTCTGTTCTCCTCTTTGCTCCCATCTGCCCACCCACCTCTGGCCTGCTGCTCGGTGTCTCAAGCCACTTACTGACTCTATTTTAATCTTTGCACCAATAGCTGGAAAGTTCAGAACCAAATCTGTGGCCTACCTATTGCCAGAACTTTACTTCCTCTCAATTTTGTTTTTACCATATGAATTTCCCTTTCACCTCAATTTCTTCACTTAACTGTTTTTTACCTTATGTTTTAAATAAGCCACCTTAAATCTTTTCTGAAACCTGGCAGGAAGTGAAGTAGATAAGATTCCCCCAAAGTTACCCATCTTCTCTGCATCTGACCATGAGCAAAAGCCCCTCCTGCATCATGCCTCCCCTGAACATCTTTCTAGCCAACCGCAATCTTCATCCTGTGGTCTCCATGCAACCCCTACCTTCCTGTTCATGGTCAGCAGCCTTCTCTTGACCCACATTCCCCAGCACTGTGGTAGCCCAGGCCAACTTCTTTACCCTTCCATCTGTCATCTTCCATCCCAGGCTCCTCCCTCTTCATCATGGATCATCTAACTGTCGCCTCTTTACAGAGGATTTTCCTCGCACCTGTCTAAGTAAGGTTCCCTACACTGTTATTTCTATCACACTCACCTTGTCCAGCTCTTCTATTTTTATGTATTTTGAAACTACTTGATGTCTGCTTCCCTACTGGGTTCAAGATCTGTAAAGACAGAATACATTTCTGTTTTCTTACCTCTCTATACCCTGCACCTAACTGTACACCTCAGGCCTAGTGATTCTGACTTCCCACCTTGCCCCTTTATTGTACTACTTTAAGTCTGTGTGTGTGTGTGTGTGTGTGTTGTTATTGTTGTTGATGTTGAGGTAAATTCACAAAGCACACAGTTAACCATTTAAAAGTGGACCATTTAGTGTATTCACAGTGTGCCAACACCACCTCTCTATCAAGAATGTTCTTTCATCGTAGTTTTGGAATGAATAAATGAACATGTTAATAAAATGACTGAATTAAATTTGCTACTTCTTTGCATTTGGCTCACCATGTCCCCATTTTTCCATACAACCGGCCATACATGACTGAACACATATGCTAGCAATCTGGTGGAGAAGAAACTGTTTCTTAACCTCCCCATCATGTGAAAAGTCTCATTTTTCTTTATTAAATATGAATGACAAGGCCTGGTCCTGGGATCTAAGCATTCTTTCTGATCATCTCCCCAAAGGTAAAAGCAGTTGTCAGCATGTTGGACATGCCACCAGTTCTGATAAGGCTCACCGGATCCATGGGCTATAGTAGGTGTATGAAAAGAGTATGTACTCTTTTCAGTGTTGGAACAGTATTCTTTTTATTCACCCCAGTAAAGCATCCCTCCCTTCCCGCCTTCGATGGCATTGCATTTTCCTTTTTGCACATGTGTCCAATCTTACTTTTCTTGTAAGATTCTAAACCATGTACTTTCACTATGAATCACTAGGTGCTCTGCATGCCCATATGTATTGGTGACACCCAAATACACATATAAGCAAGTTTTTTCTCTAGGAGATATTTGTTATAACCAGAAGGAAATTTCCTCTCTTTTAAAATTTGTTTTCAAATCTTTTTTCCCATATCCTTGCAATGACCTCAAATGAAAATCGAATTCAGATATTGAATATTTAAAAACATTGTGTTAAGGGTTAGGGGCAGGCAAGGCATCATGAATTATTTAACAGTCAAGGTTAAAGGTAAATGGACACATCAACCTTGAAAGCTGAGCACTCTGAGTCTAATGTGTAATCCACTATGCATTTCCATGCTACATTTGGACTTCAGTATCATATAAATGGCCACCCATTCTGAATCATTTACAACTAATACCAGAGAGATGGAAAGGATTTTTTGTTTTGTTTTGTTTTCCATTCATCCTCCTCTGTGAAATTTCAGCACCCCTATTGGCTCCCTCTTCTCCTAGCCTAAATTAAGGCCTACTATGCTTGTCTCAGTTATAATTATCTGTTAACTTGACTGCTAGCCTGCAGCCCTCTCACCTTCCATCCATCAAACTTTACTATGACATAAGGGGGCTTCAACTACAACGAATACCTCTTCACTTCCCAGGATACCTTTCAGTCTTCCCATGTCCTGTTAAGTCAAGATCTTCAATTCTTGGATGCCTCATTCAAGCTTGCAACTGAACTCCTCCCAGGACCATGACCCGGGAATGCTTTGTACATCCTGCTCTGGGATTCTGTTCTGTTTCGCCAGAAATGTCTTCTCCCATCACTGCAGCCTGCCCATCCTCACCCTGTTTAGATATTGATCTTTGCATTATAACAGTTTCTTGCATTTGCTTGCTATAATTCTTTTTGTCCTGGACAATGTCTGGCCCAGGTGTGGTGGGCACTTTGGTTTATTTGAGTAAATGAAAGAAGAGACCTTAGCACCATCTCCTCGACAAACCTTCCCCTGACCTCAGCTCTCAAATAACTAGGAGTCTTTCCTCTTCTACACACCTGTCACCCTTTATTTCTACTTCTCATAGGTAACTTTTCACTTTCTAATTCATATCTCATGAAATACTATTAAGTCCCTTGAGGACTCAGTCAATAGAATCAATGATTAATTCATGTAACCTTGTACAGTGTAGTGCAGGGATAACCTGCTAATATTTGTTTGACGAAAGAATACAACTTATTCTAACAATCAATGTGAGCATATTTGGGAAGTTGGAGCTGATATTTTTAAAGAGAGTAGGGGTTGAGGGATTTTTTTTTTAAGTTGCTCTCAAGTACTTTGGATGGTGGTCAATAAATCCTATTTGTTATGATCTCGTGAATCAGCAACTTATATGTTCTTGGACTAAATCTTGGACCAGCATGTCAATTCCTATTTTTTTTTTTTTTGGTGGGAGTGAGGGGGGTTTGGGGATGACTATTTAGATACCAGTTTGTAGCATCTATGAACAATTGTTATTCCACTCCTTTAGCATCAGTAGTACCTAGCAAAGAGGAAAATACAATTGAGATGGAAAAAATTGGAGTGGAAAAAAATGCTACCACTCTAATTTTTTCCATATGTAACTCAAAGAGGAAATTTGCCAATATGTGATTATTTGCACACTTTAAGTCATTCAGCATGATTATTAGAAGTCCACAGTGTCTTTTCAATTTTTGTTTGTTTTTGTTTGTTTGTTGCCTTTTGTTGTATTCTACTTGGTCCTTGCCTCTGAGATGCTGATAAATTATAATTCACATTAGTGCTCATTCTTTCTGGCTAAAGTACTTTTCAAATCAAACATAGTTGAAGTAGATTGACCATCCTACTAAAACATGGGCTGTCTTTTTATGAAACTCCTAGAATCAACTTTGGAAGCCCAATGTGCTTCTTGACTGACAGCACCTGTGAGCAGAACTTATTTGAGGACTAGTTTGATCAGTGCTGATGAGTCTTTGTCATTTTTCTTTTAGAAAAGCAAGTTATTTCTTCCCTAGAAAGAGAAAGAAGACCTCAGAGAGTAGCAGCTCACATAACAGGGACCACTCGGAGAAGCATTACATTCTTAGATCCAGGTAAGAAAAAACAACAAACATCCAATTTAGGGTTGGGATGTACCTCAGTGGTAGAGCACGTGCCCAGCATGCATGAAGCCCTGGGTTTGATCCTAGCACTGAAAAATAACACCTGGCCTAAGGGTAGCCAACGGAAGCATTGTTCCAAGGAATTTAATTTGTTTAATTTCTACCTAAAATATTTATATGGCAATCTAGAAGATGCTTGTAATAATCAAGTTTCAGATTGACTATTTTCAGAAGCAAAATTACAGACAAAGAGCTCAATTACTGCTGCGGCAAAACTGGCTTCGGGGAAAATATGAAGGGAAGAATTTTGTCTTTGAAATTTCTAGGCTTCCATTTTTTGCTTTTCTTCTTTATCTGTAAAGTGATATCCTCCCTCCCCTCCCCACCTTCAATGGCATTGCATTTTCCATTTTTGCATGTGTGTCAAATCTTCCTTTTCTTATAAGGTTCTAAACCATGTACTTTCACTATGAATCATTAGGTGCTCTTCATGGCCTTTGTAAGTTGAGTCATAGGACATTGCCAACATAAGAGCATATTTCATTCACAAAAATGTCAGTTCCATACAGTTTACCTAAATCCGTGTGCTACAGTTTACCTAAATATGTTAAGTCCAGTTTTTTCTGTAGGACCGGGTGTCAATGTAATACTGTAGGAAGTGCATGGTTCTGACAGTATAAATACTAAAGTGTGAATACTCAGCTCCTCCTCACCTAGATATGTTTAGAGCAAATTATTTAAGCAAGTCAAGTTTCAATGTCTTCATATGCAAAATAGAGATCATCCTTAACTCATAAAGTGGTGAAGATTAATAGTAACACATGCAAACTGTCCAGCCTACTGTGAGTACTCAATAAGTAGTCACCTTTTTTTAGGAAAGATTTTATCCCAGAAAAAGAAATTTAAGAATCACTTAAGAGATGAAAAAGCTGTTTAGGAGAGTTTTTTATACTCCTGAGCAGTTGTCTCCTTGGTATTCCTAAAATCATGTTTTAGAAACGATTGACATGTGCTACCCACAAGTAAGAATTATTACATAATGTTACTGTTTGTTATTCATCAACAAATTTGATATTGTTTTAAGCTCTTAAAAAGCTAAATTTTTGCACTAATCAGGAAGATGAAACCAAAGTTTTAAAATATCCATATTTTTTATAGAGCTCTTTTTCACTCAAAATCTTTGAGAGTTAAAGATCCATAGATATGAGGATCTTTAAATATAGGTTCCTTTGTCCAAATTTGTGCCTTTTATTTTTTGAATTAAAAATGCCTTCTGCTTGGATGGCATCTTTGACTTTGGAGAGCTGTGAAAGACCAAGGAGGAACTTAAAAAGACCCACCAGCACAGGAAAGGAGGAAATGGGGGTTAGGACAGAAGCTCTGCTCAGGAGTAAAAACTGCCACCTGAGTGGATCATGCCCTGGGTTACTATTCAGAGATGAGCATGTCAGGTGTGGTATAAGAGGTAGATGAGCTATAGTAAGGCAGGGAACTTCCAGAACATCACAATGATGCAGGAACCTCCTGATTCCTATATGACTAGAATTTATAATCCACATAATATTGAAGGGGCAAGAAGTTTGGTATTAAATTGAAATCCATTGTAAACCCAACAAAAATATCAGCTGTGCAGAGCTCCTGGGGAAGTCCTTGCTTTGCTATAATAATCTCTCTTCTGTTAACTCTATGTCTCTCATCTTCATCCAGACTCCAAGAGTGAAAAGGCTTTGGGCCAGAAAATAAAATCCTGGGAGTCATCAAGGAAGGGACATTCATTCCTGAAAAATTTGCACTTGAGGAATGGAGAACTTGTCATCCATCAAACAGGTCTTTATTACATCTATTCCCAAACATACTTTCGATTTCAGGAAATTGAAGAAACTTCAGGAACACTTTCAAAAGATACCAAAAAGAAAAGCAAACAGTTGGTACAGTATATTTACAAATGTACGGACTATCCTGACCCGATATTGCTGATGAAAAGTGCCAGAAATAGTTGTTGGTCCAAAGATTCTGAATATGGACTCTATTCCATCTATCAAGGGGGGATGTTTGAACTTAAGGAAAATGACCGAATTTTTGTCTCTGTAACTAATGAACACTTGATTGACTTGGACCAAGAAGCCAGTTTTTTCGGGGTCTTTTTGATTGCTTAAATGATCTGCAGAGGAGCATCGTTTGAGCCCAGGAGTTAAAGACCATCCTGGGAAATTTAGTAAGTCTCCATCTCTGAAAAGAAGGTACACAAGGCAGCAGCTAAACCAGTGTCCTCTTGGAACAAATGGAAGCCTGGCTGAGTCCCAAATGTTCACTTTGGTTTCTCTGGTGTGGGGAGACTAGGAAGGATTATATGCAGGGCCACTGAGGAATCATGGCCCAGCTGACACCTTGATTCAGACTTCTAGCTCTGAGGCCAGAAGAGAATGAATTCTTGTTGCTGAAAGCCACCCAGATTGAAACACCTTGTTCCAGCAGTTCTAGGAAGCTGACACAGCCTTTCATGCCTTGTTCAAGAAATGTTGCCACTGACAATTATACAGATATGGATACACACACACACATACACACACACACTCACACACACACACACATACACACATATACATACCCTGGATTGAACCCAGGGGTGCTTACCATTGAGCCACATCCCCAGCCCTTTTTTTATATTTTATTTAGAGACAGGGTCTCACTAAGTTACTGAGGCTGGCTTTGAACTCTCAATCCTCCTGCCTCAGCCTCTCAAGCCACTGGGATTACAGGTGTGCACCACTATACCTGGTCCCCAATCACTATATATTTTTTTCTAAAAGTTTTGAAGTTTGGCCTTCCTAGTTCCACAGTGTCATTCAACTTTAATTTAAATTCTATGTGATGTGATGTTGGAATTAAATGTTACCTTTTACCATACAAATATCCAGTTTTTCATCCCTTTTTAAATAGGCCACCCTTTTCCCTGCAGGTTTAATGTCTCTTCTTTCATATACCAAGATTGTATAGGTCTGTGTGTTCAATATTTTTCCCTATTGTTCTAATTGTCCATCTTGTACCCATGTCACCCCCTTTCCTAAAAATTTGTTGTAAAATATATGCATATATATATATATATATATATATATATATATAACATAAAATTTGTTATTTTAATCCTTTCTCAGTATGCAATTCAGTGGCCTTAATTATTTAAATTACTACTTAATTTCTCTAAATTTAACTATCTTAGGTACTCAAATAAGTGAAATTACACAAATTTTGTCATTTTATGTCTCATTTATTTCTATTAACATGTCTTCAAGATTCATCCATGTTTTAGCATTTGTTGGAATTTCCTAGCTTCTTGAGGCTATTCTGAGTAGCCTTCAGTTAATGTAATGGAGAGTTTTGAAATCTGAGGCTAAAGAATGATGACCACAAAACTTTGGCAGCTAGAATGCAATGTCATTATGAAGAAGAGATTATTGGGGAAAAAAAAAGCAGCCACTAGATACTGTGATGAGAAATGAGGGTCAGGATAACCTGATCTGGAAGCAACACTTCATTAGTGGCCACAACCCAGAGTGATAATTCCCAAAGTCTGAGCCCCAACTGCAGCAGGGCTTTTAGACTTAAGCAAGTTTGGGTACTCCAGGCAAGGGTGTTGGTGCAATTCTATTGGAGGCTGCATCCTTATATGGGTACAAGTTTGTCAACAGCCCAGGGGATTTCAGCCCAGACAGCTTGGGGACTTTTACTGCACTAAACCTGGGGGTGGGGGTGGGGGGGCCTTTTGTCCCAGTTATTTTGTTTTCTGCTTCTGCTACTATAGTCACCTTGATACAGCTACCTGTCAGCTGCTGCAAGCATCTCTGATTAAATGCCAATAAGCAGAGCTATTGTGTGCCAATGTGTGAAACCACAGCCTGTCAGCTCTTAAGCTGCTAAAGTTTCTACTGTATTCTACCACAATACCACTAACTTGAAAGAATTGGTGGCAATGTAGATGGTATTGGCATTTAAAAAAAGACACATTGACCAATGGAACAGACTAGAGAACCCAAAATTAAATCCTCTATCTTTGGCTAATTCTCAACAATGGTGCCAAAAATGTACATTGGAGGAAGGCCAGCCTTTTAAACAAACAGTGCCAGGGAAACTGTATATTTCCGTGTAAAAGATTGAAACTAGACCTCTATCTCTCACCCTATATAAAAATCAACTCAAAATGGATTAAAAAAAAAAACCTTAATGTAAGATCTGAAATGCTGAGACTTCTAGAGGAAAAGGTGGGGAAACATTTCAATAAATTGGCACAGGCAACAATTTCCTGGACAGGATTCCTAAACACAGAAACAAAAGCAAGAACTAACAAATGGGGTTATATCCAGCTAACAAGCTTCTGCACCACAAAGGAAATAATCAACAAAGTGAAGAGACAACCTTCAAAAGAGAAGAAAATCTTTGCCATCTATTCATCTCACAGAGGATTAAATCTAGAATATATAAATAATTCAAAAACATTTAACAACAATAACAAAATCCAATTAAAAATGAACAAATGGTCAGGAGAGATAAATCTCAAAAGAAGAAATATAAACGGTCAATAAATATATGAAAAAAATGCTTAAAACCGTTAGCCATCAGGGAAATGCAAATCAAGACTACAATGAGATTCCATCTCACCATAGTTAGAATGGTTATTACTCAACAACAACCAAAAAATAGCAAATGGCAATGAGAATGTGGAGAAAAAGGAGCCCTTATACACTGTTGGTGGGAATGTCGATTAGTTCACTATGAGACACAGTGTGGAGATTCTTCAAAAACTAAAAATAGAACTATATAATCCAGCTATCCCATTCCTGGGTATATACCCAAAGGAAATTAAATCTGCATATCCTTATTTATTGCAGCCCTATTTCCAATAGCCAAGAGAGGGGAATCTGCCTAGGTGAATGGATAAAGAAAATATGATCCATATACACAATGGAGTGTTACTTAGTCATAAAATAGAACAAATCCTGTCATTTGCAACACGCATGGAATTGGAGTGTATCACATTAAGTGAAATGAGGTAGAAACAGGAAAGACAGGTATCATGTGTTTTTTCTCATATGTAGAAATTAAAAAACAAACAAACAAATTGCAAGAAGCTAAGGGAATTAGCTATTAGGAACTGGGAAGGGGTGGCAAAAGAAGGGTGATGGATGTGATCAATGCTTCCTCTATGTATGTATGGAAATATCACAGTGAGTCCCCTTAGTGTGTACAATTAGAGAGCATTCATTCATAATTATAATTTTAAATATCATATTCACCAAAAGCATGAGGAACATAAAATGATAAGTGGAAAGCTTATCTTCCAACAGTGGAACCCTTACTGTGCCCCCTGGTGGATGCACCCCTCCTGTAAGTACTACAATAGCTAGTGCTTCTTTAACTTTGGTCAATATCAGAATCACCTGGAGAACTTGGTCCAACAGATTTCTAGAACCCACCCTGAGTTTTTGATTCTGTAGTCCTGGCCTATGGCCTAAGAACTTGCATTTCTAACAAATTCCCAGTTGATGCTAGTGCTCTGGCCCACAGAACACTTTTTTAATCTATTTTTTAATGTATATTATAAATTGACCATTAAGAATATTAATGAATATGGGGTACAAGATGATGTAATTTTTAAGAATATGGGGTATTAAGAATATGGGGTACAAGATGATGTAATTTTTAAGACAATGTGGAAAAATTTAATCAACCTAATTAACATACTTAACACCTCAAGTACTATTTTGGGGGGTAGGATTATTTGAAATTACTGAGTGATTTTGAGATGGACAATACACTAGTATTAATTATATTTACCACACTGTGCAATAGATCTCAAAAACCAAAAAGAACAAAAAATACCCCCAAACAAAACAAAACCCCCTAAATTCCTCCTGACGAAGGCTTTGTACCCTTTGACCATCATCTCCATCCCCCTTTCACTGCCTCTGATAAGCCACCATTCTACCCTCTACCTCTGTGAGTTCTGTTGCTTTCGATTTCATATATAAGTATGAATATGTAGTATTTATCTTTTTGTGTCTGGCTTATATCACTTAGCATAATATTCTCTAATTCCACTCATGTTGTCACAAATGACAGAGTCTCCTTCCTTTTTAAGGCTGAATGGAGTCCCATTATGTATGTATACCACATCTTCTCTACCCATTCATCCTCTGATGGACACTGAGGTTAATTCCGTACCTTGGCTATTATGAATAATGCTGTAGTAAACATGGGGTGCAGACATCTCTTTGGTACATACCCAGAAGTAGGATTTCCAGATCATATGGTAATTTTATTTTTAGTTTTTGGGGATTCTCCTCACAGTTTTCCACAACAGTGTACTAGGGTACACTTTCCTGCACATCCTCGCTAGCATTTGTCATCTTTTGCACATGAGACTTTGTGAATGAAAACTGTAAATCACTGTTAGAGGGATAGGAAGCAGGGCATTGGGAATGTATACTGATTACACACAGGGAGATATACACTTATTTAAACAGTATGAAAAATGCATAAACAGTGAAACAGAGTCTCACTGGTAAGTTTAATGACATTAGAATTAAGAAATTTTCTCACAAAAAGAAAGTTAAAATTTCTCTTAGCCTTTGTTTGATTCATGTTTCAGATGTAATGTTGTATTGTTATTTGTGAAGACCCCCACCTTACCTGAGATAAGGCTCTGCTCCCACCTTACTCCATGTTAGAATGGCTTCAAAATAGACTAGACTTCAGCTCATTTAAAGTTGTGCTCAAAAGATTAATTTCTGTTGTAAATATTATTGTGGTTTCAAATAGAGGATGTATTATATAATTAAGTAAAGGTTCAAAATTATAATAATTTTTCTTGGTTCATATCTATTACATAAACTGAATATGTCTTTTCTCTGTTCATTTCATTTTGTATTTTTCCTGTAAACTTTATAACTGTTGCCTATTAGTGTTTTTCAGAGGTACTACTTCTAAAAAAAAAAAAAAAAAAAGAACCTGGGTTAATTTAAGATAATAAACCATCATCTATAGGACAGATAGTATATAATGCTATTACTAATACTAACCAGTACCAATATTAACCACAATTAAATGAAAGGGGTAACTGTCAAATTATAGATATTGAAGTTATAACCTGTTACTCCCTCTTTAAGACTAGTGAAACTGGCTTGCTGGGTATTTAGAATCAAAAACTTGATGACCAAAGTTAAGGAAGTAAAATGGCCAAGGAAAAAGCAGCCAACATGTTGGCCCTGACCCTCTAAGGTCAGCCAGGACCCAGAGAATGACAGGACCCCTCTCTGTCCCCTGCAACTCTGGTGAGCCACCAGAGTTAACTGATCAGGGATATCGGGAGAACGTTAGAGAACAGGAAGCCAACGAATGCACATTCTGCAAAGAGGAGGGTCATTAGAGAGCAAAATATCCCTGATGGTTCCAAGAGAAGCCACATATGGTCAGCAAAGACTATAACCCATCATGGCAGATGACACAACTAGTAGAGGAAAGCTAATGGAACCAAGAGGCTTCACAGACATCCCCAAGAGTAAACTCAGAGGAATCTCAGCTGGCTCTTAAGAGTGGATAGGAACAATGTCAGTTTTGACCAATTTGGTCTTAAACACCTGGCAGGAGAGCATAGCCTGAGCACAGTCCTACATGGACACTTAAAAGGAAAAACAATGGTTTTTTTTAATGTAACTTAAGATGTACATTTGTCCCTGTATATGTACATTAGCTTCGACCATTTTATATGCTTTCATATGTTTCTCAGTAGTCTCTTTGCACTTTATACAAATTAAAAACATTTTTAACACTTCTTGATTACTGTAAACTCTACTAGGTGCTTTGCCAACTGAACATATTAGAGGACCTCAGCTACATTGATGCCTTATTTGGAACTTTTAATGATTTTTGTTGTTTTTGAGACAGGGTCTCTGTAATTTTGAACTCCTGTGCTTCAGTGATCCTGCATCAGCCTCCTGAGTAGCTGGAACTACAGGCATGTATCACCATGCCTGGCTAATGTGTTATTTTTTTTTAAAAAATACTAGTTTATGACCATCAAAAATTCAATGAAATTGTGACAAATTAAGAAAAAATACTGGCTATTCATCTAGAACTTTTTGATTATCATTTCATTTTTCTGTGCTTTTTAAATGGAGGTGAGATTTGTATAACATAAAATTCACCTTTTTTTTTTGTACTGAGGATTGAACCCAGGGGCACTTATCACTGAGTCACATCCCCAGCTCTTTTATTTTTTTTTATTTTGAGGTGACAGGGTCTTGCTAAATTGCTTAGAGCCTCACCAAGTTGCCGAGGCTGGCTTTGAACTTGTGATTCTCCTGCCTCAGCCTCCTGAGTTGCTGGGATTACAGGCATGCGCCACAACTCCACCATTTTATAATGTCCAGTTCAGTGGCAATTGGCATGTTCGCAGTCTTGCATGGCCACCACCATTCTCTAGTTCGGAAGCATTTTTATCACCCCCAAAGGAGACCTTCAACCTAGCAAGCAGATATCCTCCATCCCATCTCCTCCCGGCCCTGCAGCAACCATTAGCCTGCTCTCTGCTCTAGGGTTTTATCTCAAACTGCATATTCCATGTAAATAGAATCATATAATAAGTTAAAAAAAAAAAAGATGTACATTTGTGTCAGCCCTCCCAAAAGTAAGCAAAAGTGGAGGCTATAAAGGAAGGGTCCTTGTGTGGAGTGCCTGATAATAATGATATTCTTTGTCCTGAGTTAATTTAAGCCTGATCTCACAGACCTACAAATCTTCCTAACCTCCTACATTGGTAAACTTGATCTGTTTTTCACTGTTATGATTATGAGTTACTGTCTTCATGGGTTTCGGAGACTGGCTGAAATATAATTGCTTTTTGGTAATTGTTTACAAAATAAGTAATGCTTTGCGGTCTTTGTTTATTGTTGTCATCTCATAGCATGATCCTTGCCTTAGGTATGACTTGTCCAGTCACCTGCCACCTCCCATTGTGGACCTCTGAACCGCTCTGATACGGAATAGTCATAACTGTCCACCTCCCACCTGACAGAGAATAAGGACTTTGGGTTGCTTCCCAAAACTTTGCCCCCTTTCAGCAGGATGCAGCTTGGAGATGTCATCATCCATTTTTCCATAGAAATGAAATGTCAAAATTGACCATGGAAAAATATAACAGTAGTCCACTTTATGATCTGAATGTAGCTCTTGCTGATTTGCCACAGCAATTGACTTTTCAAATGGACATGTTTCTTTCTCTTCCTCTCTCCCTGCTCCTCCCCAATCTTTCCCCCTCCCTAATCTCAGGGGAAACAGGATTACCTTTCTTCCCCATTTTAGCAGAGTTATCTGTCCTGGAGTTCACACCCATCATAGGAACCGTAATCCAGAGCATGGTACCAGAAGATCTCAGAAATGACTATCTCACAAATTAACAAGTGAATTACAACTCCAACAGAGAACCCATGGAATGTGTCTAGCCTTTGAAACACCTCTTTAAAAGCCCTCTGTTCTTAATGATGGGCAGAATCACAGCCTTTGGGACAGGAGTCCCCTGTGTTTCTCCTTTGCCAGCAAAATAATAAAACTTCCTTTTCCTTTTTCCCAAAATTGCGTCCTGGATTGGCATTGAGGACAAGGACCAAGCTTCTGGAAACAATCCCGTCACCTGTTTTACTTCTGTTACTTGTATTTCTAGCAAGGTTTTCAAGGTTAATATGTCCAAAATGAACTTCTGGCATGGCCTCTGAAATCTGCCTCTCCATTAGCCACACATCTCTCATGACAATCTCAATCTTCCTGTTGCTTCAGCAAAACCTTGTCATCACCCTTGACTTCTCTTTATTCACCCTGAAAGGAAAGTGACCACAACACTTGGAGCGACCAAGAGATCTTTATTGAAGCAGTGCAAAACAGGAGAAAAAGAGAGAGAGAAGAAAGAGAGTAAGAGCAAGAGAGAGGGCCCCCCCCCCGGCAGGAAGGAGTTTTAATAGCCCAAATCTAATGGGGTCTCTGGGTCTGCAAGCTGCTTGTTGGCGTAGTGATTGGATCATATAGTAGCATCATCTTCTGCCTCAGGCAGACGGGGCAGGGGTCAGATGTGGGTTTCTGTTGCACCAGATCGGTGGGGGTTAAGTGTTCAACCTTGAGTGGGTTGAGTGTTCAGACTTGATGCAAACAGGTGATAAAGGACCAGGCAGAGTGGGGTTTGAGTGTGTGGGTTATCCTGCAGCTAACATTCATTCAGCCTGCCCTGCAGACAACTTAGTTCAGCCTGTCCTGCACCTAACACACCCAAATATGATCCATTTGTAAATCCTCTGGGCCCTAACTTCACCATTTCTATTGCCTTCATCCTGACCAGAGCTACTGACATCTCTAGCCTGGATTACAGCAATACCCTTCAACCAATCTCTCTCCTTTTGCCCTGCTCAATCAAATCTCAGCCAGATGGCTCCTGTTAAAACCCAAGTCATGTCATTTCTCTGCTCAACCAAGTTCGATGGATTCCCTTCTGCTACGAGGTGAAAATTGTGGCTTTGACTTAAAAATTGGTTTTCCAAAATCCTTCTGTTGATTTATAACCATTTCATGATGTACTATCATTTACTTTCTCACCCTATGCCCCTGAAATTCTCCCTGTCCCTCACTGCTCTGCAGCAACATTTTGTTCCTTGCTGATACACCAACAAGAAGGCATTCTCCATCCATGTTTTTTTTTTTTTTTTTTTTTATTGTTGTTGTTGTTTTGGTGGGGGCTGAGGGAGGTAGGGATACCAGGGATTGAATTTAGAGGCACTCAAACACTGAGCCACATCCCCAGCCCTATTTTGTATTTTATTTAGAGAGAGGGACTCACTGAGGTGCTTAGCGCCTTGCTGTTGCTGAGGCTGGCTTTGAACTCGAGATACTCCTGCCTCAGCCTACCGAACTGCTGGGATTACAGGTATGCACCACTGCACCTGGCCCCATCCATGTTTTTTAACTTCCATTTCTCTGTACCTGGGAAGTTCTTCCTCCAAACATCTGCATGGCTTATTTCCTCAATTTCAACAGGTCTTCACTCAAAAGTCACCTGCTCAGTGAGGCCCTTCCTGGCCACCCTATACATATCTGCAAACCCTCCTCAACATCCAGAGGCTTTTATCTCCTTTCTTGCTTTTTTAATCTTTCTTCTTTACACATCACTCTCTAATATACCTTTATTTTATTTTATTTATGATCTTTCTCTCCATTAGAAATTTCCATGCAGGCCGTGTTTTTTTGTGTGTGTGTATTTTATTTCCTGCTATATCCTCTATACCTAGAACATTGTCTGGCATTGTTGAATGAATGAATAACTTCTAAAAGCCTTATGCACAAGTGTGTGTGAGAGTATACAGCATCAGAATTTTTATACAGAACAGATGGGAGAGAAATTGGTACAATCCCTGTGGAAAACCATTTGACATTCCTTAATAGCATTGATCATGTACAAGCCTACAACCCAATGACTCTTCTCCTAAATATATTCTCTGGAAAAACTGGCACATGAATAACGGCAACCATGAGAATGTCCATTGCAGTGATACCTGGGAAAAAAGGAAACAAACTTGGGAACATTAACATTAAAATAACAACTGAAAGTAGACCATTCATGAAATATTATGCAACAGGAAAAAGAAACTACAGCTATATTCATCAATCTGACCAAGATCATAAGGTTGAATAAAGTTTCAAAAACAATAAGCATAAAGCGACTCCATTCATGCAAAGTTCAGAAACATTTTTTAAACACTAATTGTTTAGGGATACTTATATATGATGGATTTATAAAGAAAATCATCAGGTTGAGGGATGCACAATTACAGGGTGAAGGGAGTGAATGCATTGAGATTTCACTAGAGGATTTGAGG